ATACTGAAAGAAGATATGGACTTAACACAGATTCAAAATTACAGACCTATACCATTACTAAATGTGGACTATAAAATTTTTGCCTTTATATTGGCAGAAAGGTTGAAGAAGTTTTCAATAGACTTTGTTCATCCAGACCAAAATGGTTTCCTGCCTAAAAGACAAATGAAGAACAATCTGAGGACTATCTTGGATAACCTAGAATACTATGAGACACACACGGAAAAATCAATGGCTCTACTGTTTTTGGATGCCCAGAAAGCCTTTGATAATGTTAATTGACAATTCATGAAGCAACAGATGGCTCAAATGGAGTTTGGGGGAAAATTCATGAATGCAATATCAGGCATCTATCAAAGACAATCGGCCAGGATTTTAATTAATGGAGAACTTACAAGGGCTATAGAGATACAAAAGGGTACAAGGCAAGAATGCCCGTTGTCACCCCTATTGTTCATTCTGACTTTAGAGGTCTTGAACACAAATGTCAGGGATGACGAGAACATTTAAGGTACTAAAATTAGGGATGAAAATTATAAATTGCAAGCATTCGCAGATGATTTGGTCTTTATAATAGAAGAACCTTTTGTAACAATCCCTAAACTTTTACAATGGATTGACGAATATGATGAGGTTACGGGGATGAAAATAAATAAAGAAAAAACAAAACTTTTAGTTAAAAATCTTATGCAAGATCAGAAAAAAAGACTCCAAGAACAAGTGGACTTGCAGATTGTTAAAAAGGTTAAATACTTGGGAATCTATCTTACAGCTAAATGCACAACTTTGAAAGAAGACAATTATGATAAATTATTGAAGGATATTAAAGGTGATCTGGAAAAATGGGACAATTTACAATTGTCTTTGATGGGAAAAATAGCACTTGTTAAAATGAATATACTACCAAAACTTATGTTTTTGTTCCAAATGATTCCTGTAAAAATTGTTAAATTTTTTTTGAGGATTTAAATTTTCAAATTTCAAGATTTATTTGGAAAAAAAAGAAAGCAAGGATTAAACTAAAAATGCTTCAGGAAACCAAAAAGAATGGGGGTTTTGGTCTTCCTGATTGGACATTGTACTATCAAGCGTCTATTTTAACTTGGCTAAAAGAATGGATAACCTTACAAAATAAGAGAATTTTGTATCTTGAAGGTCATGATTTGCAACTGGGTTGGCATGCTTATATGTGGTATGAGAAGGTTAAGTCTCATGGGACTTTTTTAAGTCACTTTATTAGAAGATCATTAATGTCAGTGTGGGAAAAGTTAAAGTCAAAATTGTATAATAAATTACCAAGATGGCTTTCACCTATGGAAGCTTTTGTGTATCCAAATGTACTGAATTTTGAAGGGATCATAAGATATGATGATATTTTGGATAAGGATGGAGGCCTGAAACTTGATCAAGAAATACAAGAACCTGGACTCAATATCTCTTGATGGTATAAGGTGCAGATGCAATCAAGATATGCTAAAGATTGTAAAATATGGGGGTTTTATAAAGACCTAACAGCCTTTGATCAAGTGATGCTAAAAACAGATGAGAAAATGATTAAAAGAATGTATGAGTTCTTACTTGACAGAAAAATGGAAGCGGAACAGGTTAAGGAAACTATGATAACATGGGCACAAAATTTTGGATATAATATTGAATTAGAAAAGTGGCAAAAACTATGGGAGAGAAATATTAAGGTAACTTTAGCAACTTTGTAAAAAGAAAATTTATATAAAATGTTTTATAGATGGAATTTGTCGCCAAGTCGATTAGCTAAGATGTTTCTAAATATGTCAAATGGATGTTGGAAATGTAAACATGATGTGGGTACTTTTTACCATATATGGTGGACCTGTGAATATGTGAAAAAGTATTGGATTAAAATACATAAATGGCTTGAGGAAACACTACAAAAACCCTTAGCTTTTAAACCTGAAATTTTCTTGTTAGGCATTATACTGGAAAATATTAGCAAACAAGAAATGCACTTGATGCTACATTTAATCACAGTGGCGAGGATTGCGCTTGCTCAATACTGGAAGAATAAGGAACTACCCACTGAGGAACTGATTTTAAAAAAGATTCTGTACTGTGCAGAAATGGACAGATTGACTCTATTACTGAAGGAGAAAGAAGATACTGACTTCTATCAAACACGGGACCTTTTTTATGATTGGCTGGAGAAACGGGACATGGCTTAGATTTGAAGATGTCTTTAAATTGTTATAAATCGATTTGAATATGATTATAGAATGTTAAAAAGATATGTTACAGGGGGCTGACCCAGTACGTCTGATGTATTTGATGACTGATGTTTTTTAGTTTTTAGTTTAAAATCTTAATAAAAATATTGAAAAAAATAGATTTGCCATAGCTTTCCTCCCAAGGAGCAAGCGTCTTTTAATTTCTTGGCTGCAGTCCCCATCTGTGGTGATCTTGGAGCCCAGGGAAATAAAATCTATCACTACCTCCATTTCTTCCCCATCTATTGCCAGGAAGTGAAAGGACCAGATGCCATGATCTTAGTTTTCTTAATGTTGAGTTTCAAGCCAACTTTTGCGCTCCCCTCCTTCCTGAGGTTTCTCAAGAGACATATAAGATGGTCTGGTACTCCCATCTCTTTCAGAACTTGCCACAACTTGTGATCCACACAATCAAGGGCTTTAGCATAGTCAATGAAGCAGAAGTAGATGTTTTTCTGGAACTCCCTTTCTCCATGATCCAGCATATGTTGGCAATTTGGTCTCTAGTTCCTCTCCCTCTTCGAAATCCTGCCTGTACTTCTGGTAGTTCTTGGTCCACATACTGCTGGAGCCTAGCTCGTAGGATTTTGAGCATAACTTTGCTAGCATGTGAAATGAGTGCAATGATGCGGTAGTTTGAACATTCTTTGGCATTGCCCTTCTTTGGGATGGGAATGTAAACTGACCTTTTCCAATCCTGTGGCCACTACTGAGTTTTCCAAATTTGCTGGCATAATGAGTGTAGCACTTTTGCTGCATTGTCTTTTAAGATTTTAAATAGCTCAGCTGGAATACTGTCACCTCCGCTAGCTTTGTTGTTGCTCAGACTTCCTAAGACCCATTTGACTTCACATTCCAGGATGTCTGGCTCGAGGTCAGTGACCACCCCATCATGGTTATCAGGGACGTTAAGCTCTTTCTTGTATAGTTCCTCTGTGTAATCTTGCCACCTCTTCTTAATCTCTTCTGCCTCTGTTAGCTCCCTGCCATTTTGGTCCTTTAATATGCCCATCTTTGCATGAAGCATCCCCTTCATATCTCCAATTTTCTTGAGGAGATCTCTGGTCCTCCCTATTCTATTGTTTTCTTCTATTTCTTTGCACTGTTCATTTAAGAAGGCGTTCATCAGGGATATGATTTAGGTCATACCTGAGTGGCCTAATGCTTTTCCCTACTTTCTTCAATTTAAGCCTAAATTTTGCAACACAGCAACTACTACAGGAAGACAAATCCATGTGCTGTATTAATGCATAGATGAAAACAATCAGATTTGCTGATTTATGAACACTTCTATAATAGACACTTCTTCTGATTTGTTTTTGAACAACGATGGCTATTTGGGCAGCAGCTGAGTATTGGGGGAAATGGAATTGTTCTCCCATTGGTCCCTGAACACTGTCATTTTGTAAGTCAAATTGTGCCCGTTTATTATTTTGCATATTGGAAACCAGTGTGTTTGATTCATGAAGTTTGGATAGGGAATGGATGATAACTCTTATTATGTCTTCCAATAGTTTTGCCTAAATTGATATGGGAACACAGTTGGCTTCTGGGCTTACTGTGGACCTCCCTCCCTGCATTTACATCTCTTCATGGTGATCCATTTTTGCTGGCAACCAGTCGTTCCCTGTCTGTAAGCTGGGAAACATCTACCAAGTACGCCTTTGCCATTCTGGTGGAATTTCTCAAAATATCAACTTCCTAGTGGCAGCTGTAAGTGTTCCAAGCAGACAAGACTCACAGGCATATATGCTGGCCCACCAGAATCCTTTCAGCTCCCCCTAATATAGGAGTCAGCAACTTGTTTCCTTCCAGACTTGAGTGCAACTTGAGTGCAACTGGAATGCATTTATTTCTGGTTTTTTCTATACCACATTACTTTAAAAGAAAATCCCAAATACACTTTACAATACAATAAAACCAATCACTGAAACTATAAAAGAATGATAAAAACAGTAAAATCTTATTAAAATAACCAAGGGTGGCCGACAAAGGCAGAGGTCAGGGCAATCACTGGATAAACAAGGGCATCTTCGGTTTCTGGTGGAAGCAACACACAGTGAAGGTACTGGGGCTGCTACCAGTGTTGCCAGTAAGTGCAAGCTGCTGCATATGGCAGGCAGTCCCTCCCGGGCACGAGGCTAATATTTGCGCTGGGTGCAGCCATGCGCCCGCTCAGAGCTGAAGCAGCAGCCCGGACCCACAAGCTCCGGACATCCTCACTCTCAGCAAAGGCTCCCATTAGTGGCATAATCTGGAAGCCCAACACCCAACCGCCACAGAAAGCGCACCTTTGGATCAACATAGAGCAGTGAGGAATGGGAACAGATAATTCTTTATCACCCACGGGCTTTTGCTTTGCGCTTTTCTGGGTTTGTAAAATAATTCCAGCCGCCTGATTTTCCAGTTCTGGCCTTTGCGTTTGAATTTCCGGGAGAGTCCCTGATAAATTACAAGATGGGCAAGAAGCTTTCTCACAACCAACAGTTCGAGGCTTTAAAACCTGACGTGATCCTGATCTATTGTCAAGCTTTAAAGATCCGGCCTTGAACAGCCCTGAATGGGCAATCCAGATGTTCATTCTCGATCACCATGAAGGGCGTTTGAAGATAAAAGACTCCAACTCCCAAAATGCCTCACAGCGATAACAAACATCATTTCCCTCCCCGGCAGCCTCTCTCACCCTTTTTTTTTTTAACTTCCAGGGCAAAGCATGATGGTCACTGTAGTCCTAGTGGGCGGGGAGCGGGGCTTTCAGGTTTTGCTTTTCGTTGTTTGCGGAAGGCAACGAGCGCGCGCGGGCTTCGCCTCGCTCTGCGGCTGCTGAAGGGGCGGGAAGATGGCGCTGGAGGCTCGAGGGATGGAGCAGGACGTGGAGGACGGCGAAATTTTGGAGTCCGACTGTGAAATGCCCATCTCCGCCGCGGCGAGGAGCCCCCCTCAGGTCAGACCCTCGTCCGCCCCCACCCTCCTGCCTGCGGCGTGCTTCCTCGCCTGCTTCTGCCTGGGCTGGGCCCTGGTGGCCCCGGCAGCAAAGCCTCCCCCTCGGCAGGGGAGAAGAAGACGGGGGGCGGGGGCGACTACTCGCCGGCCCGGGAGGTTTAGAGCTCCGGAGGGCGCCTGCACGCCTGCCCTAGCCTGTGCACGCTTCCTTCGGAGTAGGTCCCCTTGCTATCAGTGAACCAGAACTAGCGGGGGTTGCATGCCGGCTGCACTTTTCTGTACAGTTCCGAAGGGTAAAAAAGCAGCCGGTGGGGAAACGCGACTTTTAAAAGCATGCAGGAGCCCCTTGATGCTCTCGACCTGGTAATCTGAACTGGGGGAAACTCTGTAGTAGCTTAGCCTTTGCCGGCACGCACTGATGTGCTTGCCTGATGAAACCGAAGATGCTTCAAAGGTTTCTTTTTAGATAATGGAGTAGGTGAGTGGAGCCTGCAACAGAGTGTTGCAGTACGAGGGGTTCTAGTCGAAGGTGTCAGCCAGCCATGCCTTTTCCAGTTCTCCACTACTTTTGGCTCCCTATAATTATTTTTTCCTTCTTGTAAACGTGTTCTGCACTTCTGCATACCTGCAAGCCTGCTGATTCTTCCCTGGTGTGTGTGGTGCATTTCGGCTAATTAAGGATACCTACTTAAGGAATGAACTTGCTGTTACTATACAAAATGAACGGCCTATTTTGGTACCTGCCATGGCAACATGCTACCGGTTACTTGCAGTTTTCTAAAATAGCTATAGGGAGCAAGCAAGGGGCAAGTTTTTCATGGGAGGGTGGGATTCACCTTCTCCCTGAATTTCACCCAGCTGTCTATCCAATGAAGTATACTGACTTTCTAGTCGTGTGTGCTGGTATGGGATGCCTTTGTATGTAACAGTTACTGAAGTGCCATGGCAATGATTTAAAAATACTTGCTGTCTGTATTTAGATCTGTTCTGCTTTTCTCTGTTATTAAGTGTAGCGGGGTGGGGATGTACACAATGGTGTTATGTAGTACAGCAGACTCGCTTGTATAAAAACTGTTTACAGAAGCTTTCATGCTATGCCAAATTTGTCAGGTGACATGTGTTTGAAACTAAAATAAAAAGAAACTGCATCTTTCATTTCCAAGTTTGGCAGCTATTTTTTATATATAAAACAGTGAAGGGCATTCATCAGATTGACCTAGGTTATAGTAACTTTTGGCATGGCTCAGTAATTTGTATAAGACTCTAGCATTATTCCTTTTAACAAAGTATTTCCTATGAAACTATAAAAACTAACAAGATAATGTCATTTCTCTGTGGCTTAGTTCTGGTTCAAAGGTAGGAAATGTAGAAGTATGATACATACATAAGACATACCATGTACATCCGTTACACATTTCTTGTATATCTGCAGCCCCAAGAAGTGGAAATATTTTAAAAACTAAGAATGACTTAGATAGGGACATGTCTTTACACCATGCATGTGGGAGCAAAAGCATACAGATCTGTACACTATGTTTGAATAGACCCTAAGTGTTTTACATGTGAACTGGCACAAAACAACTTGGAACCAGGTTACTTGAAGAAACATCTCCAATATTTAACTACCCTGACATTAAGATAATCTTAGGAACTTGTAAAACTAAAGGGAAATTTGGTTGCACTCTTGCTAAGAATAGTGAATGCAGAACAAACACTAACTATCCTAATTAAACTGGAAATTATTTCGGTTAGAAAGGCAGGTCAGGCTGGCCTTTTCAACAGCAACATGCATGGCCACTTTTGGTCACTCTGAATTGCTGTAAGCTGACCAAGAAAATATATATAATGTGTAAAGAATGTGTAAACTGATAAGAATGGGTCCTAGATGCCTGCTTCTCCCTCCCACAATGTCCAAATGCAAAATTATCTAGATTATTGCTGTCTAGATTAAAATGACATGCATGTTCACTTTGCTTGCTGTTTCATATCACATTAGTCTTTTTACGGTGCAATCCTGTACATACATAGCTGGAAGTAACTACTATTGAGTTCAGTGGCACTTACTCCCAGGTGAATGGAAATAGAATCATATGATTTTACTCTTCATACCTCTGATTATGGCAGTCCTATAAATGGATGCCTGCCAGAATGTCCTGTGCTAGACAGTCCTGTTCAGCTTTTGTAAATTCAAGGCTGTGGCTTCTTTTATGGAATCAATCCATCTTGGAATTAGTCTTTCCCTAAACATTATTGTCTTCTCCAGTGATTCTTGCCTTCTCATGATTTTTATACAAGTAATGGGGCAAGGAGGAAGGGAGATGTTCTGTGGTGTCAAAAACATGGTTCTTCTTTTGGTCTTAAATAGCAGCACCTTTTATAAAATGAGTGGGGTGCTGGCGCCAACTGATAATTTGAATTTTGCTAAATGTTTATTTTGATAAACAGAATTTGATAATTTGAACTTTGCTAAATGTTTGATTGTTGCACAATCCAATATCCTTTAAGCTATTAAATATTTGATAACATGACGAAGGGAGTCTGAAAGCCGACTTCTGTTTCTAATCTGTAACCAAAGAAAAAACAAATGTATGTAATGTGTGGACAAATTCTTACTCTAATAGATATGAAAATATTGTTTGTTCATATATTTATTTTTCCTGATGATACATGGCACTAGCTATGTTTCTGATATCCTGAAGGTGTTGAAAAATGCTACACAGCTGTAGCCTGTTTTACAGTAGTTCATGAGATCAGAAGCCAGAGAACCAACAGGATTCCTCACAGGATAGTGACGTCTCATGTCTCCCATCCATGCCCCTTAAATACTGGTCCCACAGTCCACATGAGGAGAACCAAGCAGAGGAAGGTGCTCTGAATTTGAGGCCCCAGCTCCAATCTCACAGCACTTCCAAGAGCTAGGACTTCAGATTATTCTGTGGCTGCCTAGACAACATTTAGCAGCCATAGGACTGTGCTCTTAGTCATTCAGGTCGCAATTAATTTTAAGCCTTATAAAAAATAAACTTATTTTTTCTGTATGAGATAATGTTTTTATGGAGAAAACATCTGACTTGAGCTTAAGCATTACAGATAACAGTATTACGTTTTGTGTGTTTTACCGCTGGTTTCCTACTAATTAGTCATCACACATGGATGAATTTATACTCCTATTAGATGCCCTCCACAACCAGAGTTGTGGAATGTTCCCAGTTCTTCCTTGAGTTATTTCATTGCAAAAATGAAATCTTCTGGAATGTTAAGGCAAGAGGAGCCTGGAAGAAAAGGTTGAAATGCACAGCGTGCCTGTTCAGTACTCCCTTAGCCTTGACCTCTTCTAGATACTCCATTCAGATTCCTAGCTTTCCGTTTTTTCTTCAGTAGTCTGTCAGCTTTTCATGGCCACTGGATGTGCTCAGGCCAGTTCTGTACTTCTGCAAAGTCTGCTGGCCTTTTAGTGAGCTTTTTGTCCGAATAGGAATTGGATATCTACATTCAAGAATAGTGCTTTAGGTACTACACTAAGTGCTACAATTCAGTTCTTGTGAGGTATTTACATTCCAAAGCCACAAACCATTGTCGATTTCACAGGCTTCCTGTTTACTAACAATATTTTAGAACTAATAGTAATAAATTGAGTATTGTCTTGAATCATTTTTAGGGCACAGTTATGCATGCTTAATAGAAAAATCTGATGGGAATGTTTGGAGTTTTAGTACTTTTTCTTTCTAAGCATGCATAGGAACTACATTCTTTATGTTTTAATTCACAGTGCAATAGAAGTGAATGAAAACTCTTATACCATATTAGAAGACTACAGAGTGAAAGTAATTTTGAAAGCTAGTACTAGTTGAGTTTAGTTCAGACTGGAGCACCACAAAAATTCCTTATTTTATTTATTGTTGTTAGCTCCCCACTGTAAAAATCATTCTACATTTGACTTGTACTCAATCAATACAGAAATCCAGGATTAATATAACAGGAAAATAGCAATCCCAACATTAGTATAAACCATACAAATAAAAATAAATGCCATAAAAATATAATGTTAAAATGATGTAATATGAAAGGTTATCATCCCTAACCCACTCAGAACCTGGTATGAACACCACAAAAGAAGTCCATGACAATTGGGCCATAACAAACACCCAAATACCTGGAAAAATATGTACTTATTTGTTTGGCAGCAAAAAAGTGACAGTGCTAGTGCCAGGTGAGTTCCCTTGATTCTTGTGAATCATCAGGCTTAACATGAACAAGAACCAGAGTGCTAGATATGAAATACAGGAATAAGCAACCTGCAGTTTAGGACTCTGTGCATCACTTATCCTAACTTCAAAAATCCTTTTCAAGAAATCAGTCCAGACTCAGGCCAGAGTGATCTGTCCATCCACAACAACCAACTGTACAGGGTGGGAGGGAAAGAGAAGAGCTTTCAGCCCTGCAGATTGGTATGCAGTCCCCACCCTCATCACACGCAACTTCCCACTTTTGTCCTATGACTTTGGCCCTGTGCTCCTGTCCTCTGTCTTGTTAGAATAAGGTGAGAGGGCTTTGTTGTTATGGAGGTGGTGACTTGGTCAGATAGACTTTCATGTTTCACTCCTTCCATAAAGGATTATATGCAAATAAGATAGTAACCAGCTCTCATCCTGCCTGAAAAATATTTTAATTTTCTGCCTACTTTCATGGGGGTGAGACAGTGAGGGATGATTAAATATCAGTTGCATTGAGTTGTTTTGTATCCAATATCAGATTTTTGGGGCTGGCATATAATGGCAATTAAAAGTATTATCTGTTTGTTTTTTTAAAAATTTCAGAAACAACATGATACCTACAGCTCAGCTAGATCATTTCCAAACAGCATTTCACCTTGTGCACCAAGCATCTCTTATCGGACAACCAAAAACCTGGACTCAAGTGATGAGAGTTTCTCAGATTCAGATGAAGATAACTGTCTGTGGAAGCGAAAGCGACAGAAATGTTCTAACCTTCCTCTGCCTAAACCAGAACCTTTCCAGTTTGGCCCAAATCCTCCAAAACAGATAACTGTAGGGGGTAAAAAGATCAACAACATCTGGTGTACAGTACTTCAGGATCAGAATCAAGATGAAGTTGCCTCAGAACTTGGGATTCTGGGGATGGAAGGAAGCATTGACAGAAGTCGGGCATCAGAGACTTACAACTACTTGTTAGCAAAAAAGATGCGGGATCAATCTAATACAGAAGTAGTTGAGTTGTTAGACAAGGAATTGGATGACTATATGCAGAGTGGCAAAAAGACATCAAAGGAGGAGGAAGAAGAAGAGGAAAATGGACAAGGTCACTTGAAACGGAAACGCCCTATAAAGGACAGATTGGATAAAAGACAAGAAATGATTTATAAAGGGAGATATGAAATTACTGAAGATGATCCTGAGGAAAAAGTGGCAGATGAAATTGCCTACCGGTAAGATTTTGATCTATTAAAATTAACTAGTTGTATGGTATTAGACAAAAGCCATAATGTGAGTATACTGAATAAGTATAACATCTCTTTGTCCACTTGGATTTAAAGGGGTCCAAAGCAACACAACAGCAAAAATCAATAGATTTATGGTCTGTGATACTTTGATTTATAGAATGAAAACTGCAAAAGGCAGGTGACTAAAATTTCCAGGCATAGTTTACTACCCTGTAGGTGCCACTGTTTGAGAAGGACTAGATTGTATCTGCACTTACATGTGAATTAACAACATGTGGACCTGGCGTAGGAAAATCACCCTGGGATGAGGTTAGACAGTAGTTAACATTAACTATTAGGATTTGAACAAAATGCTAAACTGAGATCACAGAATATAGAAGGAAATACTTCAAAGCTCCTCCTCACAGCTGTGCAGGGTGGAAGTAAAGGAAGCAAATAAGTCTTTGGGTCATTCTCACCCTGCTAACCTGAGCTCCCTTAATGGTTAGTTTATACACAGTCTGCTTCTTTATATACAGGAACAACCCCAGTTTGTAACTTGCAATAACTAGGATGCTTAGTGAAGTTAAAATCCAGACAGAGTAATTCAAGTTTAAGTACAGGGTCTGAGGATCTAATCCTCTGCACTGAAACAGAAACACCAGTGCTGTCTGCAAAATTTGGCCATTCCAACTTGCTCATGGCTCTTTTTTCTTCATAGCTTTGGAACAGACCTTATTTTATATAAGTCTAACTTAAAAGAATTGTCTTTTTATGGGGAGTTATGAATGCATGTCACTCCTATTTTAGTACTACATTATTTGTTCTTAGTCCAATTCTATAGTCTAAATCAGTGGTTTTCAAACTTTCCACAGCTGGGGACAAGCGAAAACAGGAAAACCACCCCAGGGACCACTGAGGTAGAAACAAAAAAACACCATTCACATAATACAGTATTCTGTGTATTAGTTTCCAAACACAATACCCAAAAATTAAAATTCTCCCAACCAGATACCAAGCAATAAAAAAAGTCAACAAAAGGACAAAATACCGAAATCAGTGTACAGTGACTCCCAGCCAGTTTCCACCAAACTGTCTCTCTCTTTCCTGGTCCCCCACAAAAGTGACGCCAACTAAAAAAGAGGTGGTAGAGCACAGCCAGCCCCCATGCCAGTCCACGGCGAGCGGGAGGCAGCCACCCCATGGACCAGCGGAATTGGTAGTTGAAAACCACTGATCTAAATAATTGGTCTAAACAGGGTTTGTGACAAAACTCCACTTTACCAGGGCAGTGGATTCTTGTGTGTTAGCTGAGGGGAGAAATGGAGCTTAGTATATTATCAATAGGAGCCAAAATTATACCTGGTTCATGTCATTTCTGTTCTTCAGTACAAAGTGCAGTGGTACCTCGGCTCACGAACACCTCAGTTCAGGACCAAATTGGGTCGCAAGCAAAATTTCACAAAAATTTTGCCTGAGGTCACAGACTCTGCATTGGGTGACAATCGCGGGCACGCCCATCTCCCCCCGCCCCCAAGCACGCCCACGACCAATTTGAGTCACTACCAGGGTCCTACAACGGATTAAGTTCATGAGCCAAGGTACCATTGTATTGTGATTGTCATGCTTGTACATACTTTAATAATGTGTTTTAATACTGCTTATCTTGTTTAGTTGTAGAGTTTCTTCTATGGGTTTTAAAAGGTGCAACTGTTGTATCTTGAATGTATACACTTTGGGAGAAAGGGACATGACATCCCCTTATACTTTGATCTGATTATGAGGGAAAAGGATTCCCATGAGTCTTTGTCCATACAAACATAGCAAGATGCCTTACGCTGTTAGACCATTGGTCCTCTAGCCCAGTATTGTCAAAAGCAACTGGTAACGGCTCCACAGAGTTTCAGACAGAAGTTTTTCCAGCCCTACTCGGAGATTCAACTTGGTGCCTTCTGCACAACTATGCTATGGCCCTTCACCAAGACGAATAGGAGTGGATAAAGGTGTCCCATCAGCAAGTAAGCTACTTGTGCATCTTACCTTTTAGATTCTATAGCATGGGACAATCCACATTGGTTAATGATAAAGTAATTGTGGAGTTTCATTAGGCCATGCAAACACATTTTGATTTATTATAGATGTAAAATGTTGCATAATGCTCATGCATTTTAAAAATGATTAAATTATATTCTAATATTAGCAGTAAGTTTAGGCTGCAATCTGCTGTCCACTTACCTAAGAGTAAGTGCCATTAAACTCAAAGTGAGCTATTTCTTATGTGTATAGCAGGGGTGGGCAGAACCTAAGTTTATTTTTTTCCTAGAACACTAAGATCCACCAATCAGCCTGATGCACAAGAAATGCTCTAATAATTAACAAATTATAAGCTGAGGGATTTGTTTGCATACCAAAACTTAATAGAGCCTATAGTCTTTTCGTGCAAAAAAGTCCACTCCTGGCTACACCAAAATTTCTTAATTTCAGTATATTGGAAATTATCATTTAGGAGTGGGTGGGAAGAGTAATTGTTTGCTGCTATCACTAAGCAACTAGGAGTCACAATTACCTGCCTATTTACTACAAATCACCAAAATTCACTAGCACATCCATATCTACCATCTATTAACTTTACTTTTTCTTTTGTGAAAATCAAACCGGCAAAAACAAAGAAGATTTGCCCAAGTTTTGTATATGTTTATTTGAAGTAAATCCCAGCATATTCAATGGAATGCTGTTACAGGTGAACAGTGCATAGGATTTCAGCCATGATATTTTTTCCTCTGATGTTAAAGCTGATGTCATCATGCTGTTGGTAACAAGTAAATGTCAAACAGTAGTAAAACTAGTAAATATTGATTTATTTATGAAAGTGTTCTGTCATTCAAACTCATACAAAATGAAAAAAATGCCTCTTTTAATAGAACTTTATTTTCCTTTTAGGCTTTGTGAACCAAAGAAGGATCTGATTATACGGGTAGTAAAAATCATTGGAAAGAAAAAATCTATTGAACTATTAATGGAAACTGCTGAAGTGGAACAAAATGGAGGCCTTCTCATAATAGTAAGAAATAACTGATTGTTTAGTTTGTTGCTATGATTACAGCTTTAGCTAATACTATTCAGACAGGCAGAAGGGACAAATCATTTTCTAACCCAACCCCACCACCCCATCACAGGTCGTGTTGCCCTGTTTATTGCCATCATTGTATCTACTCTTAGCCTTATCCAACCTGGCTCCATTAACTAGTGCCAATCGCCATGGCTGCGGAAAATAGGAAGTCTTCCTTGCCAACCATACCTGGTGGGTCCTTTGCCTGCCTGCTCTCTCCCATCTGCAAGGTGTCCAGAGCAGGTGTGGCTGTAGTTTTGTAAATACTGGTGTGAAAAATTGGAATGTTTGGATTAATCCTAGTGTATTAACTTGCATCAGATGCCTTTCTAATCCTGCTGCATTAACCTGCATTGCATGCCTTATCTATGCTAAGATTGGCAAGTTGGTTAATTGGGCTAGTCAGATATTGTCAGTTGATTATCTCTTGCTTGACACTTGTCCAACATTGTCAGATGAGGCATGATGCTGCTAATACACAAAGAATTGGCCTGCTGCTTACTTAGCCTACACGATTAAAAATCAACTTTTGTTTTTTAATTTGTTAGAGCCACATTGTTTTATTTTTCTTTTTAAAGTAACTATCTGTAAGCTAACCCTGATTTTTCCAGAGAGAGAAAAATCCAAGGAGAGAAACTGTGCAGAATCCATGTGTGTGGGTGCACATGGGAGAGTGTATACCTGCTCCTGATTCATTTAAAAACTTAGGGCCATTACATTTAAAAATACTAATTGTTGGTTAAATTTTAGATAATACTTCACAATTCTTTCATAGGGTAATTATTCAAATTTTTTTTGTTTGTCTTTCAAGAGCCCAACCTTCATAAAATGTCCATAGCATGGATTTTCTAATAATCATTTTTCTCCTGTCATATCATGATTACCTGTCTACCTGCGGAGAGAAAGGTATATTGCCAGAGGTCTTCTGTGGCCACTTGCAGAAAGCCCCACTGACCTGATTGCCTCACTGGCAGTGAGGGTGAAAATAGGGTGAGCTGGGGCAGGTTAAAGGTCAGTTCTTGAATACACTTCATTTTTTGCAGTCATTGCTCAGAAGAAAGCAATTTGGGACTAGTTGTAATGTTTGGGAAAAAAATGTTGCTGAAATTTAAAACAACCAATGTGAAGTACTGCTTGCAGTTTTAATGTAGAGATGAAATATTACCATGCTTAACACTGCATTCTTTTTAAGAGACAAAATTCCTTGATTCAGCAAGACATGCATATAAGTAGTTGGAAATTCTGCAAATGCAACATTGTGACTGCTGTTTGCATGGAATTGCTCCTTACCTCCTCATCCATCACCCATCATATCTCACACACCCACATTTCCTTTCATACTGGAATTGTTCTTTATGTCATTGTGCATCCTTGCAAACATGTTAGTTGTACAGTGGTATCCATTAAGAACATCTTCTGCATTATTTGTTACTTGAATAATGTAACAATATTAATAGTATTCACACAGCAGAATTTAGGAGAAAAATACATGAAAGGGGGTCTTAATAGCCACTAAGTCATGCCACTGGATTTATAAGGACATTCCCTAGAATAAAGTGACATGAGAGGATGAATAATATGAGAAAATTTGATATACAAAGAAACAAGATGTAAATGTGATGTGTAAGTACTGAAATCAGTACTCAGCAGAGAGAAGAAAGATGGCTTGATATGCACTCAAGCATGCCCTTGGAGAGCTGTCTGAGCAACACCACCTCTGTTCCTTTCCACATCCCTAGCCAGAAGAATATTATTTTAGGTTTATTCTGAGCAGAATCCAGAGTTGAACTCAGGAGCAGCATTGGCACAGGATGCAGAAAATTAATTTCAGCCCTTTCCCTCAGTGCCTCTCCTATTCTGTTTTCCATGGTTAGTGGGTTAGTGGATCCTCTGTATCAGCAGGGGGCATTGCATGGTGGCAGAGACATAATATGAAAAATTCTCCCTGCCCTCTTCCTGCGGCAGATAGCAACAACTAGGCAAGGGTTCCAGTATCACAAAGCAATGTTCACCATAATTTTATTTTTTATTTTTTTTGCATCTTCGAATTCTTGGTTCCTCAAACAAGAGTTTTTAGACTTTATTGTTAATCTTTCAACAGATGGATCCTATACATCCTAATGCATTTTTTAAAGGTAACTAATCTTTTCACCGCAAAAGGTCTCTGCTTATCTTCAGATAAATATTTGAGATTCTAAGCAACAACATATTTAATCTATTTTTTTCCTATTATACAGAATGGAAGTAGAAGAAGAACACCAGGAGGAGTCTATTTAAACTTGCTGAAAAACACTCCTAGCATAACTGGAGAACAAATCAAGGTAAATAATGGCCATTTTTATAAGCCTCATTAAAAAGCATATTTTAGATCACTTTTAGATCATCTATTAAATAGAATTTTCTGACTATTCTTATAACTACCTTCTCACTTCTCTTTATACATTTTCTGAAATAAGCTGTTGCCTGTGAAACAATATGACTCAATAAGCTAGTCCAGTTGCCTTCTGGTGGGGCTGTGTATAACCCTCCAAACTAAGCATTGCATTTTGGAGGCAGAGAAAAGGAGGGTGAGACACTACCAAGATATGCCATAACTTGGTGGCACTAGTTTCTCTGCTACTCCCAAACCCCTTTTCAGGGTTGCTGGTACTCATCATAGAAGGAGCCACTGCAGTTATTCTTCACCAGCTGCAGCAGTGGGAGAGAAACTGGGGATTCCCAGATTCATGATTAGAGTGTTTTTCTAACCTCAGATCTGAGAACCTGAGCAGTTGTATGACACTAGACCAGGGGTCTCAAACTCAACTTACCTGGGGGCCGCTGGAAGTAGAGTCTGGGTGAGGCTGGGCCACATCAAGTGGTGGTGGTGGTGGGCCGCTCATCCCGCGTCGCTCCCAGAGGCCGGCCCGGGCGCCGCCGGCACTTTGAGGGCCGCAGGGCCCCTCCCCCGTGCCCTGCCTGTCCCGGCAATTGGCTCGCGGGCCGCGACTTTGAGACCCCTGCACTAGACAGTGTCTAAGTACCATAGGATCATGCTGTTACTCTTATGCAATTCCATTTTATTGTCATTACTGTTACAGACCAGGTTTCTCTTGCATAATTTCAGCATTTGCAGTTTTGCATGCAAATTTAACTTGTCTACCTTGTTTGATTTGGCTTTTTATGATCACTTAATATTGTTATCTCTGGAGAGAATTACTAGCACAAATGAAGCACAGAAGCAAACCTAGCATTTCATAGTTATTAGATGCTTTACTGTACAGCCCAAGTCCACGTTAATATAAATACAATGCCCAAGGATATACAGAATGATGGAGCCTTTAGGGCTGTGAAAACAAAAGACGCTTTTATTTTATTTGTTTCTTTCTTTATTACTTGTATATACCATCCAACCAGAAGATGCTGTCAGGGTGGTTTGCTAGTACAGTGGTACCTCGGCTCACGAACGCCTCAGTTCATGACCAAATTGGGTTGCGAACAGAAATTTCATAAAAAAATTGCCACAGGTCGCGAACTCTTCATCAGGTGACAATTGCGAGTGCGCCCACCTTCCCTGTACAGGCGTGATCGCAGTCATGCTAGGGGGGAGATGGCCACAATTGCGCCCATGTTCCCTGCCTGAGCGCGCCCCCCCAGCGCGCCCGTCTTCCCACACTGCCCCGCATGATACCTGGGTGGGGGGAGATGGCTGCGATCTTTGTTGTTCTTTGTCACTTTGCTTCAAATTTTTGTGAGTAAGAAAAATAGTTGCAGAATGGATTAACCTTATTTACATTGACCCTTACAGGAAAATTTGACTTGGCTCACGACCAATTTGGGTCACGATCAGAGTCCTGGAACAGATTAAGTTTGTGAGCCAAGGTACCACTGTATAAAAATCCAAATGGCAATTAAATAACAATTAAAAGTAAACTACAATGTTAATTCATTAAAAACAATAGAGACTGCAGTAAAATTAATAATTGAAGCAGCAGCTTAAAGGTTAAATGCCAACTAGAAAAGGAAAGGCTTCAATGTATTCAAATGTATACATTGAAGATGCTGGGTGGATATCCCAGAGAAGGACATTCCACACATTAGGGACCATAACTGAGTGAACTCTTTCTCTAATAGCCCCCATTTCACCATGGTGGGTTGGGACACCCAGGCAAGAGCCTGCAAAGATTATTTTAGCCTGTGGCCCATTTAGTCCAGTATTGTCAATACTGGCTGTGGAGTTTTGCCAGCCCTAGTTAGAAATGTCAGGGATCGAACTGGAACCTTCCACACGCAAAGCATGTACGTTACCACTGAGCTACAGTCTCTCTTTCTACCTTTGATATTATAGTGATAAGTCAATTTTCAGAATCCCTTTCTTTCAGTATTGTAAATAGACAGACCTAAAATAGGGTATTCTTTTCACTTTTGGAAGCAGAAAAATTAATTTTCAAATTTGTTGTAGCAATTCTGTGTAAGGTTATAACATTCATCAAAAATACCTTTCTTCTTTGTTATGAAGGTAGCTTTAATCCTTAATTTAAAGGTTAGTTAAGACAGCTGGTGGTTTCTAAAAAATGACTTTATCTATTATTCTTTAGTACTTCATGGGGTATTAAAATTCTCTTTGAAGGAAATATTCTATACTGAAAACCAAAAGGAGTATGAGAACAAAAAAGCTGCAAAGAAGAGGAGAATTCAAGTCCTGGGGAAAAAGATGAAGAAAGCTATTAAAGGGCTTAACCTTCAAGAATATGATGATGCCTCTCGAGAGACTTTTGCTAGTGATACAAATGAAGCTCTCGCTTCTCTGGATGACTTACAGGAAGGACACGGTGAAATGAAATTGGATCCAGAAGATGCTATTGATATAGATAACACTCATGATTTAGATATCTTTTAATGTACTGGATACTTGAGAGTCCATAATCTTTGTGAGATTCATTAAATTGCAGGTTTTATATTATGACTATATCTTGTTTTCATTAGTTGCAATAGTATATACTATGTGGATCCGTGGTGTGCTGAAGACAGCCTTTTCAATTTCATACTTAATATAATATTTAAGCTTTCAGTTTGCTTCAGATCATGAATTTTTCAGATCTCTACCCTTTGTTTCTGTCCTCACACCTAGTTAGGCTGTGTTCACTCACCCCAGCATTTGTTTTATACAAGAATAAAACTGCGTATTCTCATTCCAGAGGAAGACTTGTGTTTGAGGCCTGTTACAACTGCATAAAAGCATTTCTTCATTTAACCAAAGGTAATATGGAACCAGCTGACATACCACACTACAGTGGAAGAATCGCATATGACCATGGCCTCAGTTGATGAGTTTGTGAACCCAGTTTGGAGCCATGAATCAGATACAATATTGTATGAGCTTGCAAATTACTGAAAATGTATCTTTAGGTGGAGCATTAAGAATAGGAAGGAATACGGTATAGTAATATTAGATGTCCTTCACTTAGATGCCCTTTATTGTCTTAAAAAAAGTTCTGTCAAAAAGATTTTAAAGGACTATTCTGATTTCCTGTTTCATTGACAGTTAAAGCACCTGTTTGTTTGTTTGTTTGTTTGTTCCTATAAATGTGAAGAAACAGATATTGCATTTTGCAAGTCTACAGAACTCTGATTCCACCTTCCAATGACTGGACCACTAGTTTTTTTTTAATTAACTAAATAATACCATGCAGTACAATATAATAGAATACACATCAATAACAACAAATTTAAAAGCACTTTTCATAACATTTGTAGTAATTCAGATAAACAGATCCTTTGCACTATTCTTTTAGTCATCTACTGCTTGTGCCTGATTTTTGTGCTAATGCTGTAATAATATATTGAGTTATATGTGCTTAAGCACTACTGAAATCAGTTACAGTTAATAACAATCCAGATTTGGTCATACTTAGGAGTAGGCCCCTTGAGATGCATGGTACATCTCTGACTAAGTTAAATTCATTCATTCCAGTGGAACTACACTAGGTATGACCGAGTCTGGATCCAGACTAATGTTACTGGATACAGGTCTAGAATCCTCTGTAGGTCAGACTTGGATTGTTGATCATCATTCATGACTTGCCAATTGCTGTTCCTAAATAGAACAATCTTGTTCATTTCATTGGCTTTGGATAAAAGTTCTTGGTTGCATACTAGCGCTGAATCATACACTGAGTTATACACAAGAGCTATGGGATGGACCCTCTATGAGTTAGTGTGAAGGATCAGTAAGTGCAAAGGTGTATTGAGGCTTAGGCTGTGCATCAGGCTATTCATTTCCTTGATGTCTATCACCCAGAAAGGCAGTGACACTAAACTACCTTTGATAACTTGATTTATGCAATTGTTTTGTGAGTCGCTGCCCAAAATAAGCAATTAAGCCAGCTCAAGGTATCAGTAGATTGCTATAACTGACAAATATCAATTCAACAACTGCTAAAAATTCATCTGGGTAGCTTGTTTAGAATAAGATGACCTCAACGGCTGCTACATATGGAGTATTCTGTGTGCTGAATCTTGATTTTAGTGTGGGTTGGTTTGTTTTCAGAACAATTTTTTCATTGGATTAAGCTCCTGTTCTAAAGTCGATACAATGGCTGGTCTCTTTTTATTTATTGTAAATGGATTGCAATAGGGAAAGTTGAAATAATTAAAAGATGGCTTTACCATATACTTAAACTTGATAATCTTTTTACAATAGTCTTGGAAAGATTGTTTTCTATTTACTGAGAAACTCATTCTGTAACCCCACTTTTTAAATTCTTTAGGGCTTATAAACCTCAAATCTTCTGTCAGGAAGTAAGTCCTAGTGAATGTACTGGGCCTTTTGAGTACCCAGATATATGAGCAGGCTGTTAGCCAGGAATGAAATATAAATGTAACATTAAAATATTGAGAGTTTACAGATTTCAGACATTATCTACCATTGCTGTCAGTATGCCACATCCTAAACAGCTATATGTTGGGTGTAGCAAGTCTAGAAAATACACTGTGGATATTTTTTTCCAGTTTAACACCCTAAAACAGGTGATTTTTCTACCCTAAACAGTTTCAATTGCAGAATAGTTTGTTTTGTTTCATTCAGATTCTAAAATTAACTTTAACCAATTGTTCTGATCACAAGGTCTGCTTATAAAACTTAGACCTATTCTTCCACCCCTTTAAGTTCCTTTTTAAAAAAGGAATGTTAAGATACCTGGAAACACATTTCCCTGAACCTTAATAATAGGCATGCAAGTATAATTTTTGTAAAAGCTCTAGAATGGGACAAAATGGAATTGCACACATGCAGTTTAATTTCATTTGTAGAGCACAGAAGAATAAAGACTTGGTTTTGAAAACCCTGGTTTGCTGGATTTCTTAAAACATTTTCTAGGAGTTTCTAGTATGTGGCCTCTATTTTGCTTCCTAGACGCTACATAGTTTGGCTTATTATAGCACTCTTACTCTGAGATAATAAATACCATCAGTATATGCTCGATGTCCTTAACTATATAGTTGCTTCATTTCGTGGTATAAATTGTGTGTGCACATGACTGCACAGTTGAGACTTGCAGAATGAGTCACTATCAGAAATTTTGACAAGAGAAGATGGCATTGAGCACAAACGTTTCAACACTCGTATGTCATAAAGCATTTGATCATTTAACTGCCTTTGGCAACGTTTTATTTTCTCCAATTCCTTTGGTCTCTTTATTACTTTGCAGTCCTTTCATTATGACAGGTGTACTCAGAAACTAACAGTGAAAACTCCCTTTCCACTTGCAAAGGAACCATACTGTCTTGGAATCCTTTAATCCTTCTTTAAACTATTGCTCTGATGTTTTAAAAGTGGGAAAAGTTGATAAAGTGATGGCTAGAGGCCTCTGCCTCTGGGAGTGATCAATATTTTCTTGCTGTTTTCCCAAGTTTAGCTTGCACTTTTAATCTCTTCTTATGAACGTGTTACTTCACTTCTAGAGTGTGGGCCCTTCAGGCAAGGGGAATATTTTATGACTTCTATACAGTAAGCAATATAGAGGAAGGCTGGTATATGATGGAAAATCTTTAGCCACTGTTCATTGATTTAGACTGCCATCCTAAGCATATTTAGCCAGGAATATCAGTGTGGAAAGGGCTTCAGAGCCAGAGTGGGGAAATTAGGTTCAGGGACCAAATCCAGCTCCTCTGGGGTCATATTTCCAGGTGCTGCCACTGCCTTTCTCCCAGGCTTTTGGTTTCTTGGTTTTGCCCATTATAAAAAGTTGAAATCCCTCTACTAAGATTTTAGAACTAGCAGCAAGGCTTCATTACCAGCAGTAAGCAAGCAACAATATACTGGTATTTTTGCGTACTTTCAATCCTGATCCTTTTGCCCCTGTCCTGCTCACCACAGGAATGTGGCCCCAAATTGCTTCTCCAAAACTGAATTCAGTGCTCTGTCAAAAAATCCCCCCTCTGGCTCCAGGAAAATGACAGTCTAATCCATCCATGTAACTTCCTCCACATACAGTTTTAAGCAACAGACAGTGATTCTGCCAGTTCCAGCCATCTCTTTCACCATCATCATTTGGTCTACTTGTTTGGTCCCTGTTAAGACATTGGTGTCATCAACCTGACAATGGCAGATACCTCACAATCCCCACTCAAGTCCCTGGGCCAAGTCTTTTGATACCACAGTGCTGCTCCTTCAGCATGAGTAATTCAAAAGCTGCAGCCCCCCAGGGGTCTAAAGCCAATGTAGCTTCTAAGGCAGTCAACACTGATCTGACAGGGTAAGAATCTTTGAAAAAAAGCCCTAACCCTAACCATCTTCAGGAATAAATGGGTTTTCCTGTTCACTTTTCTGTAGAATAGGTTGATTGCTTGAGGGTCAATAGGCTGGGCAGATAACAAAAGCAAGCATACTTAACCCTTTGGAATTGAAGCTGCTTTGCAGAATTTAATAATGGACTGACTGAATATTCCCCATACAGGAATCATCTCACGGTGCTCTCCTGTAGGTTCCAGCCTCAAAATGCATGTAGGGTCTCAAACTCAGAGGCCTATGATCATCCTATACAGGCCATCTTTTTTACCAATTTAATGAAACATTTCAGAAGGGAAAGAAAGTGAAGAGGCTTCAAAATAGTCCATATCCTGGCCTTTGCAGTCCCTTCCTCCCCACTAACCAAAATGTCCCTTATTGCTCCCTAAAAGAAGTGAGGCAAACACCTCAAACAAGGCAAATATCCTGCAATAAATCTTGGAAATCAGCCAGGTTCTTTGGGTGTCTAATCCTTAAAATGTCTTCTTTCTTCTGAACAATTCATATGTAAGAGATCTCATTTAGCTGCAGGTTTATTTTCTATTGACTTGTTTGGAAATAATAATGGGCTGGATCCATATTTTGCTGTGCTTGAGTAGACACAGTGAAATCAACACAGCATAAGCTACTCAATTCTCTGGATCTACTCTTAAATAGGACTTTTATAGAGGAGATTTAGAAATGGGGCACATGATACAAGACCTCACAATATAAACCTCATGACATAAAGATCAAGATACCCAGCAGAAGTCACAACACTTCTTGGAAATTTTACAAATTTTCTGATCTATGATGAGTTTGGATTGCATCCAGAGCAAGTTTTTTTTCTTTAACATTCCTATTTCTTTGCTTTGAAAACTTGTACCATGTTTCCAGGCTTATTCATTGCCACTTGCCAAGATTTTCATACAGACATGGGATGTTTCCAAGGCTCTATACAATGCCCTGGAAGCAAGATATGAAGTATCGAAAGTTGATTTTAAAGGTAAGGAAACAGGACACATTTGCTTGTAATGCAGCACAATGGGGTTGTTTTCCTGAAAGAAACCAGACACTTCTGAAGCAGACCTTGGAGCCAAAGTCCCTGGCCCCACCATCCAAATAACCTCCCCAAAAGTGGCAGGAGTGGGGAGCACCACAATACCAGCCCAGCATTAGTGCATGAAAGATGCAGCCAACGCAGCTGATGCTGGACACACAGAATCCTTTCTTTATACTTTAGAAACATCTTATAGACGGGCAGTTACAGCCATGCCTGTAAATGTACCTGGGTACACATATACATTTTGTTGTTTTTACTTTAAATACATTTAGTTCCAAAATACATTTTGGGAAGGCAAAATGGTGTGCCTTCCTGAGTCAATGTGTTTAATGTCATGGTAGCAGAAGTAAATTCTGTTTTATTTACACAATCACAATGGTGCTATGATTTAAGCGAGTTAAAAGGTGAAACTGCACTTAAAAGACTGAATCCAGTAACAGCTCAGTGGCCAACAAGCCACAAGTAGGATTTAAGGGCACTAGTCTTTTCTCCCACTGTGATTCTCAGGCAACAATATCCATAGCCAGGCCATCTGTGATCCTGGATGCAAAATGTAGCCAACATGACTAGCGGCCATTGATAGCTTTTCTCCCATTAATTTTATAATACTCTGCACTAGTGACGGCTGGAGAGAGCTGACATGAATATGACATTTTGGAGAGCTTTCATTCATAGGGTTGCTGCAAGTCAGAGACCACTTGATGACACTTAACAACAAAGGTGGCCATGTCCATTCTTGTGAAAGAAAATTCCACTAGGCCTGGTGTGAAGTACTACTTCATTTTCTCTGTCCTTTGGGCCTAATTCAAAAGAGCACTTATGCCTCCGATCCTCTTGTGCCCCATTATGGTTGGCACACAGTTTTTTCTTCAATATACCAGGAATGTGGGAGCATTTGTGTAGCATGGACTGGCTGGGGGAGAGTTAAGAAATGATGCGTACTTCACAGTTGAATGTGAAATGGCAGCCTAAAGCAACCCGCCCCCCATGTCCCGCCAAGTGCAGAGTCTAAAATTATCTAGCTGCTGCATCATCAAGTAGACCTCGGGTCCCAGTTTGTCCACCCTGATTGATACATATCGTCCAGCTTAATGTTTCTCAGTTCAATGCTTCTCAGTTTCTCAGCTGATTCTTTTAAAATGATTATTGATTGTTGTGTTATTATTCACAGAACAGTTTCACAGATATAACATAATTGCTTGAATTCCCTTCTCTAGCATGCTAACAATGTTGGGCTCTATACTGGCGCTCCTGAAGACACTCTGTTTTTGGACAAATGTGAGAGACACTGCCATGGAGAAGACCGAAAGCAGCTTCTAAAGAAGGTCCCACAGCAAATGACAGTTGTAGACATTCCCATCTACTCTCATCTCTCTCGATACCACAAGTCCATGGTGGCTTATGGCTTCAGAATCAAACTCTGAGCTGCTTTGTTTACAGGTGGGATTGCAACAGCCATGAATAAACAATGCTACAAGAAAACAGCATGAGGCATTATTGCCATCATTATGATAATACCTCCTCAAGTCTATGAGAGATTCTCTAATAATTTAAACTTTGATCTGTTTGCAACCATCTCCAAAGTTTAGAGCTAAGGCTTTTCTTTATTAAAGGATCATGCCCATATACTGGAATCCTATTTGAGGAGCGTCCAAGTCTTGGAGCCGAGTTTAACCCTCTCTCCTCAATTACTGTCCTATAGGAGAAATAGGGAAGGGGTTGAATTTCAGAGAAGGCAGGTTTGGAAATTGACTCCCCTGCCCCTTAAATAGCCCTAACCCATTATGAGCCAAGCCCATTTACATTTTGCCTCAGGAGCAAACTACATACAGATTTTTAAAAATGCATACACCATCAGCTGTGAGGCAGGTAGCTATCAAGATTCCAGCAGAGAGAATTCATCACTTTCCTTCTCTGTTGCTATCTAGGAGATTTGCCTGGATTTGCTTTTTGGGAGTAAGGGGAAATCCCCTGTTAGCACCACTGATGGATTTCCTCTCAATATATAGTATGGCTTCAGAGGAGGGATTTTCCACAGAACTTTAGAGGAAGCAACAGTTAAATTTGCTTCCATGTCTGCTGTGTTCTTGATAAATACACGCACCCCCACAGTTAAATATCTGCAGCCCCCCCCAAAAAACCTCCTTGCATATTAAATCAAAATCTTAAGGAATGAAATAAAAATCAGGAGGTGCAGAGGAGCATGGGTGGTGCCAAGAGAAGTGTCCGTGGGCACATTGGCATCCACAGGCGCCACAATGACAACCCCAGCATTGTGAATGAATACTTGCCAAAAGTGGGGAGGGGAGGGGAGGGGTCTTTAATGCCTTGAGTTGTTCCATGCACAGCGCCACTAGTGTCCGTCTGCACCCAGACCGTTCAAAATATTGGGACTGCTGTATATGCAAAGAAGCACATACATTTGCGACATACCTGCTTCTTCCTGCCCTGCCTTATAGCTTGTGTCAACAACCTGTGGCCATGAAGGCCTTCAAGTGGGTACCACCACACTGATTTGTGTGGCCCCCCTGCTGCCTTCCTTCCCTGTTAGGTTGAAAGAAAGGGAAGACTCTTTTCCCTGAGCCAGTAGGGAAAGCCTGGAAGAAAGTAAGGAGGGTGAGAAGTACTGGTGAGAAAGAGATTGTCCTGCTTCTTGACTAGCAGAGAGAGAAAAATGGGATGATGGATGAATGGTTGGAGAAATAAAAGTGGTGTCCCTGCCCAAAGTCATCTTTGGCATGGCAGAAATTCAGCAACAGTAAATGCTTCAGCTGGGACAGTGAGCTCTCAGCACCGCTTTCAGCAGCTTACAGCTACTTCATTTCTGCTTCACAGGCATTTCATTAAGGGCGCTTGAATTCTCCTGATACTAGGTACCCATGCTCAAACATTGCAAGAATTTGGCTTGTCTTTATTCTACTGTAGCCTCAAGCTTATAGCCCTGCCTCTCAATCACTGGTCCTTCAGTTACAAACCCACTGCCCTTAGCAGTTTCTGAATGTGTCACTGATGTACATATTTCCCCACCGGAGCAATCAGGATTACTTTGCCCTTGGAAACGGGCCTTGCTCTAATTACCCAGGAGCATCACTGGTACTCCAACCAAATCCTTTAAGTTTGACCTGATCCTTGCATCGAAGATGGATTGAAATTCCTTTACATTCACTTTTAATTAGCTATTGATCTTTCTGGGTGCCACATACTTGCAGCTTTAGATTCCAGTCCACCCTCTTCTCACACAGTCATGAATCCCCTTTAAGGTGTCAGAATCAATATCATATTATAAACCTTGGGAACAAGACCTGAAGACCTTCAGTTCACTGTTCTGGTCCGAATTCAGTGGACTCTCTGGTGGATATTTGTGGAGCATCCTTCCCCTTGATGGATTTAGGGGTTACAGAAAAGACCATTTACATTTAAAACAACATTTCAGTCTCTTTTCAGAGTACTCTGTGGTTACAAAATGGAAGTGGTCACCTAGATTTACAATGACACCAAACTCCAGTTTTCAGCAAAGCTGAGCAAAATAAATATGAAGAACGATTAACATTTGTCTTGATCCATCTGTAGGACTGCTGTAAAAACCAAGCCAAATGTGACTCTTCCTCTCACTGAATAATTGTTCTTTGCCCTTTTCTACTTTATAACTGGGGCACTGAAACTCTTTTAGCCTGAGGGTAGAATGCCATTCCGGAGAATTTCAGGTGGAGCATTCCAGAGCAGCAGGGACTAAAAGCAGAGCCAGCTGCATATTCAGTTGAAAGCTTTCACTGCCTGTGGTCAAAGGAAAGGTGGTGAGCCTAGAGGGCCATGCTGGGACCTCAGGCAGGCAGAATTTCATGGGCCATACCCAGGGTCCTCAAACTTTTTCAACAGGGGGGCAGTTGAAAGGTGCTGGCGGTGGGGGCGGGCCGGTGAGGGGGTGGGGGCGGGGTGTGCACGAAGCAGGGGCGGGAGGGCGCGCAGAGGGGAGGCCGCAGCTTGCTCATGCGGAGATCGTTTTCTCCAAGCGAGTCCAAAACGATCTCCACGCAAGCTGCCACCTCACCATGCGCCCATACGTGCAAGTGCACATGCAGCAAGTCCAAAACCGCTGAGGCGGGCCGGATAAATGGGCATGGTGGGCCAGATCCAGCCCTCGGGCCTTAGTTTGAGGACCCATGGCCTTACCTCTTTTTAGTGAGGGCTGCCAACTCCAGTGTCAGTGAGGCAGTGCATCTACGCCAAGTGGATGTCTGAACTTTTAAGAGCTATCCAAGGTGATGAACCTCTTTTGGGGAAGCAGTCCAGCACGTAGGATATCATCTGCAACATTCAGGCTAAAACCCAGAGGGGATACACCACCCACTTCCACTGTCTGTTTTATGATAACTGTTCATGCACCTCCAGGAGGGTGGCAGAGGGCAAACATGATCCACTTGCTGACACCTGAGCAAACCAAGAAAGAATATGCTAGCATATCATCCCCTCAAAAGCTGCATTGCAAAAGCCCTCCTTCACTCAAGTCCAGCCTGAAATCAAAGTACCCCACCGCAGGAGCTGAGTATTCCACTCCTCCTGGATAGAGTCTCTCTAGCCCCCTAGGCAATGGTTCATAACCTGTTGCCCTCCAGATATTTTGGACTTTGGCTTTCATCAGCCTAGCTAGCATCACCAGTGTTTATGAATTGGGGCAGTTTGGAGTGTGAGCTCCCAGTCCTTTTTCTCATCACTGCTATCACTGGATTGCTTGAGAAGTAGAGCACTGGTGGAGAAGTAGATAGCAGCATCTTGACAGGGCCTGGGCCTGGGAGGCCGGTATCAGGGCAGATGCGCCTGGGCCCAGGCAACAGGGCAAGTCAGGGAAGCGCAGCACATAGTCCATAAAGAAAGAGTTGTAGTCATGTAACAGGCCGAGGTCAGGAAACAGGAACACATAGGGGAGCACTGCAAAAGCAGGCAAGTTAATAATTGGTAATGGTGATGGTGGGTTGCAAAATGCATGTCTTCACCAAGAAATATACCTTTCCACCAGTACCTGCCACATCTTTTCTTTTTCTCAGATTAAGAGCCACCATCCAACATGATCACAGTCTCAACAAGATTTTAAGAGGTGCGAACATTTACCAAGAGAACATTATATGCATTGGATTAGATCCATGATCTGACTTCCAGGGACAGAAGGTCTATGCTCATGAAGGTTAGTTCCATTCAGTTACCTGTCTTCTCCCTGTACCATACTCCCCCATGTTCAGGAAGGGGTGACGACCTTCTGTATTGTATTTTTGAGGGCCTCAGGCACTGTGGGGGTATATATATAACCATTTATATGCACTGAAATCTAGGTTCAACCCATAGGTTAGAACTTCCGTACAGTTGTATAAGAATATATTTTGCAGAAGACTTGTTGCTGAGGCAGATGTGGCATGCTGATCAGAACATTCTTGATTATATACTGCTCCACATCACCTTGAAAGTTAACTTGACCAACTCTACTCCACCATCTCAGTGATTTTCCTTAATTTGTTAGAACTGATGAACATCTAAAGGTCTTACCTATGTAGTGATGTTGTGGGAGAGAAAGAACATGTCATCTGCTTTTGACCTGAAAATGTACAACTCACAACAAAAAGACAAGGTATTACTCCTGTGAGTGCAATGTATTTCTAGCTTCATTATCATTCTTGCTTTTCCCATAATAACTATACTATTCAAATGTTCAGAGTCTTTAGATGTGTAAGAATACCCAATGAAAGTGCAAGAAAAGGTTGGCACACCTGACAGGCACAAGTGGATACGATGTACAGTGAGCAGTTTCAGGGTTCCAGATTTTGTTGCCTTCTAAAGGAAGTCAAAAGAAATGCATAACATTTTAAACAGGGGAGACTCTTAGGCTTTAATTTTTAGATGAAACAATTCTTTTCATTTTTTTAGGAGCTCTCCATGGTGTTGCATGGTGGTGAAACTCCTTTGGAGACAAGGGTCAGCACCATAAATAGATCTTAGAAAGCTCTTATGGAGATGAAAAGAAATGCTGTGATTAACGAGAAGTCTATAAGCATTGGAATCATCAGTTTTATTAACTGCAGGTATACACTTAATCCCAACCCACCAGAAACTGATGCATCATTAGATTTCCAGGGAATTTTCAACACCTTCCTATTCTTGTGAAGAACAACTCAGCCCTCTCTGTGTCTCTTTTTCACTCTGGTCTTCTTGTGATCTTTTACAGGAGTAAGCCTGCATATATTTGCATTCCCATGCGTTCTTTGGTCACGTTTGGTCTTGTTCCAGCTTATTAAGCCAAGATATATTGCTTTTTGACTGCACACATGACTGCTTTGCAGTGATTAGACCATGAAACTGATAATTAACTATCAATTTCAAATTTGTTTTAACTAGAAAATTATGGTTACAACTTTTGGAACAAGCCAGGATACTATATCATGGTTTGAATTTGGTTTAATATCATGGTTTGCTCTGAAGATGATAATAATAGTGTCCAGGTTTTGAACACATTTTGAATCCATGTTTTGGAACAAGCCAGGATACTAGACCATAGTCTGAAAATGGTTTTGGGTCATTCCTGATTTCTGGTTTACATATTGGTTTCCTAATTTACTCATGATTTTCACTAAGGGAGAAGCCAAGGGAATCAGTGCATAAGCAACAGTCTCATACATATCCCAGCTTCATAAACCAAAATATACTCAAACTGGATCACAGTGAAAGCCCATAATTCATTGCCTCAAGCTTAAAAGCAGTATCCATACTTCAAGCTCTCTATCTCCTTGATGTACCCTTCTCAGGTATTAAATATAGAGAACACAGAGCCCATTTTCCAAGCCTGCCCTCCCTTTCTGGGCACTTTTAGAGACATCCTTGAATTTCTCTGCAATCTTCTCTTAGCCTAAGAATGTTAGCAAACAAAAAGAAAACTCAAGTTATTTGGTAAGGTATCAAAATCCAATAATTCCCATTTAAAAACCCCTTGTTTTAGTGTCCAAAACTTTACATTTTGTCTGCAACAAAATAAGACAAGAAACAATTCATGTGAAGCTGATGCAATTTCTTATTTATGTAAGTAAGCTTTAATTAAGCCTGCTATTAACAGTGAATGCACTTTACAAATTATGCCTCTCTGAGAGGCATGTAAATGTTGGCACATGTTCTGTTTCATTAAAAACTATCCTTTCTTAGTTAAAATTAAATATTAAGCTTATAAAACGTAATTGCCATATCACTGCATCTGAATTTAGTTACAACACATCTAGTTTTCCTATGCATATTTAGCTGGAACGTGGAGCAGCACTTAGACACACATACCTTTTTGTTACACTATATATTTTTGAAAGCTACAAGGGGCAATGAAAGCTGCTTCCAGAATCATCTTTCATTGCCCCATTGGCCTGTTCTCATTCACAGAACTTCATGGGGTTAAACTTTTACTGTAGGTCCATATGAAACTGTCTGGCACTCAGAACATTCTAGTGTTTTCCCGTAGCTTCTTAGCCTTTCTTTTCTTACCAAAATCCCATTTGCTAAGAAAGGAAAAGCTGAATGATGAATAGACCATAAGCCTACGTATATGAAAATTACATCTCAAAATGTCAGCCAGGGGAATTCCAGTGCCCCCAGCATGTGGGATGAAAGATGAAAATAGAGTGTTTTCCACAAATTGAGCTTCTTGTGCAGACTGTTTGTGAATATGCACCACAGGTGAGGGAAACTGACTTTGTATTGTGTTGTATCTTACCTGCGTGAACCCACCCCAGTGTTTCCAAATATTGAACAGGATACAATTGAGATTTGAACTCTGTTTCCCTCACCTGTGCCATATATATCCATATCTGTATCTCTGTCTGTATATTTTTAAATGACCCACTGTGGCTTTTAGATCTCCATCCTCACTTTATACAGGAATAAGGATGGGCACGTGGCGGTTGCTCCATCACAGCTTATTTGGCCTTTTCATGCTTATTTTCAAGACAGCATCACTGACACCCATCCCTTCCCCCATTCCTTTGCAAGCCAGCTCAAAGACACTTTGACTTGTGCAAAAACAACATACAACCCTGCAGCATTATGACAACATGGGTGCTCCATTTACCAAGTATCTATTACAGACTTATCATAATTTAAAACATCCCTTGCTGCAAAATTAGGGACACGGGCATCAGACATCTTGTTTTAAATGCCTGCATGACATCTTCCATTCAAAGTAGGCAATTCAGCTCTGTGATGAAAAATGAGCCATGGGAACCAGCAGGTTTCAGACTTTCCATAGCAACCTTCATCAGTTATGGTATTTTGCTTTTTGATGGATTGCACTTAAAGTGGAAACAAAACCAATGCATTTTCCTGGAGTGTCCTAGCTGTGACACTATCTTGGAGAACATAAGCAGAGAGAGCTGACTTGGAACCTCTTCAACTCTTGCCTCCAGATAAGGGGATGGTTACAATTTGGACCTTGATAGGGCACTGTCCCTGAAGATTTAAAACTCTATAACTTCATCCACCTGAATATGGTTACATTTCTGATGACTGAGACTTACCTCCCTGCTAAAAATGGAGAGGGCATGGGCAGAAGAGCTGCAGCTTAAGTATTGGCTCTATCATGCCTACATGTTTGGCATGGTTTAATAGGACCTTGGCATGGTTTGATAGCCTTGTTAATCCCAGAGAGTAAATTGTCCATGAGCCTGTTTCTGCCTCAGAACTGAGCCAAAAATCCAAACTGAAAGAGATCTGAATTGCCAGCTTCAGCTGAACTTGTCCCTATTCTTAATCCAAAGAAACCAAAAGCAATTCAGAGAAAATAATGAGATGCAGCATTCAAATTGTCAGTGCAGTACAGCCTGTCGGGATCTGGGCTGCTCTGGTGGCCAGAATTTGCAGGATTGGTCCCATGCCCTGCTGGGGCTCTCAGTCTACGGATGAGTGCAGCTGGGAGTCCTTGGGGAGGAACTGTATCAAAGGAAGCGCTTCCCTCTGGAGCTGGCCTCAGCATCATGGGTCTTCCTGCAGCTGCAGTGCCTGCACCTGGTCTGATTGCGCCCACTCCTGCTGCTGGCTCCTGCCGTGCCATGTTGCCTTGCTGTTCTGCCGGCCTCTTGCCTGACCGGTATCCTGCCATGCCATCCATACAGCCCTGTCATATTGCCTCAGCAAGGCAGGTTTGCCCGTGAGCTGTGGTGCAGCTCCTGCATCTTGCTGCATGTGGTTCCCTTTGTCTCATGCAACTTGCCATGTATCTCGCTGCTCCATGTCTCCCATCTGGTTATCCTGTCCAAGGTAGCTGCATCTCTGTTTGTCCTCCTGGTGCTTGACCCTTGGCTTGTTCCCGACCACATCCTTGTTCTGCCCTCATGCATTCTTCTGGTTCCTGACCTCAGCCTGTGCCGTGACTGTGATTCGGACTTTCATTAAACCCTGTTTTTGGACTCAGACTTTCCTGAAATTCTGCTGCCCTGCTCCTGCTGCCTCTGCTGCTCTTGGCTTGACTTGTCTCTGACTGCCTGTGTCCCAGCTGCGGAGCCTGACAGCCACTGCTGACTTGGAGTCTAAGGTTGCTATGGTAACTAAAACACCTACTCCAGTGTGACATGTTCTCCTGCTGATTCACCTGTCAGAGATCTTCTGTGAAATTATATGTTTCTCTCTCAGTAGAATTTAGGAGCATTGGATGTAAGAAGAGTTGTGTTGGATCCAGCATTCTGTTTAAGCAGACCTTTCTCACACAAGGCATTTATTCATCATTCCCTACTCATGTTTGTTAACAGGTACACTGTTTGGTTAAAGGTTCTTATTTGGTCATGGTTCACTTTCAGTAAGTGTTTGTCTCTCTCTCTGTCTGTCTGTCTCTCTCTCTCTCTGTGCGTGTGTGCGTGTGTGTGCGTGTGTGTGTGTGGAAAGTGGCATTTAATTGTGAAAGCATGAGGAAGTGTGATTTCAGCTGATAGGAAGAACACTGATACATTTGAAACATTGTGCAGGAGAGAGGTTTGCAAGAACCCTGGACCAACAAATAGAAGAACACTTGGGTCCTAGATCAAATCAAGCTTGAACTCTCCCTAGAAGGAAAAATTACCAAACTGATGCTCATACTTTGGGCGCATG